AAAATATCTATGTACTGTATTTCATTCCTATTCAATATATATTTCATCTGTTGCATTTGCAGTTCATTATTAAATGGTGTTATAATAATTACGATAGGATTTTTTTTCATAAGAAGAGATTAATTAATTTCCCTTCTTATTGGAAACATTTGGTATATGTCCAGTTTGGTGTTAAGTCCCAAGACCTGGAGTGTATATACGTATGTATAGATATATTTTACCTACATCCCCTTATTTATGAGCTTTTTAAAACATGTCAAGAAATAATAATAATAAAAAAAAATAACTCTGCATTCACAGGGGAAGATTTTTTTTAGATTTTTTCATGTACTTTTATTTCAACTTGGACAACAGTAGCGGTAAATTTTATTTTTCTCTTCTTCTGTTTAGTCACTTGAAGATATACAGCTTTGTTTGTACCTTACAGGCCTTATTATGATATATGTATGCTATACCATCTGTCTCCCATTATTAGGCATTTTTCAGTTTTAGATGCTCTTGGTGAAGATGATTTGAGTAAATTGGCTATGGATGCTGATAAGATTACTGAGCTTGCATCTCATTTTTATGTGAATATGGCTATTGTGAAACCCGAGCCAAGTGAATCTGCTACTGCTCGTTTGGAACTTCAGGTAGCAGAGCTGACTAAACAAGAAAGTAAGTTAACCCCTACCTTGGGACGTAATTCTCACAGTGCTAAGTGCAATTTTCGGCATTTGTACTGGTGCAGCAGGTCACACGAACATACTAACCATTATAAAAAGCAAATAAATTAGCTTGGCTTTTATCATGTAAATTTTGGGGAATAGGCAAGGGAATGTCAGTCTCTATGTTCCTTTCACTAAAATAGTGACCTTCAGGTGAATCATATACTCTTCGGCGACCCCTCTTCAAAAATAAAATATTTGATTGATACTGGTGTAGATGTGTTGATGTTACCAAAAAAGTATGCTCTGTGATCTAGGCCTTCTCAATTTTTTTTTTTTTTTTTTCTGCCAATGGAACTAAAATTCCCACATTTGGCACTATACATCTTACTTTGAAATTAAATTTATGTCGTACCTTTATTTGGTTATTTGTCATTGCAGATGTAAATCAGCTAATTATAGGTGTAGATTTCCTTAAGAAATATGGATTACTTGCTGATGTTCCTAATAAATGCCTTATTGACTCTAAAACTGATTTGTTGTCGTGTGGTAAACTGTTTGGGAATTCTTTTGATTCAGCCATATCAGTACTTCTTGGTGATTCTAAATTTGACAGCTGAGTATCCCGAATTCACAATAATCAAAATTCAACAATTTTCCGTTGTATTGAGACTAAAGGTCTTCCCGCATTCTCTAAACCTCATCCTTTGTCGCTGGATTTATTCCAAGCGGCAAGACAAGACTTTGAATTTAAGTTCCTAATGTCACAAGGAATCATTTTGCCATCCAAAAGCCATTGGGCTAGCCCTTTTCACATGGTCCATAAAGCTAATGGTAACTGGCACTCTTGCTATGATTATCGCTGCCTGAATGCTATGACTATTCCTGATTGGTATCCTGTAAAACATATTCGAGATTGTACATAGATAATTTTTGGAAAAAATATTTCCTCAAAACTTGATTTGGCTAGGGTGTACCATCAAATTCCTGTTAATCCAGAGGAAATGCTTAAAACAGCTGTCACCACCACATTTGGATTATTTGAGTTTCTTAAAATGCCATTTAGTTTACAAAATGCAGTCAAACGTTCCAAAGATTTATTCATCAAGTACTTTCTGATTTAGATTTTTGTATTTTGCACTTCGATGATCTACTTATGGTTTCAGCAGATGAAAATGAGTATGAAAACCACCTTTATTTAATTTTTTATATACTGAAGAAATAAGAGTTAAAACTAAATCCTGCTAAATGTGTTCTTGGGAAGTCATCAGTATCATTTCTTGGTTGTTTAATTACCCCTTCTGGTATTTGGGTCTTTCTTGAACAAATTGCAATAATTTTTAACTTCCCTAAACCTGTAACCAATGTCTGAACTAAAGAAATTTTTGGCAATGTTGATTTTTTATGAAAATTTTTCGCATAAGGCTGCAACTACCCAAACACCGCTTCATTTTCTTTTGAAAGATTCTAAGAAAAACAATAAACATCCTATTCTTTAGACAGCAGAAACAACTACGGCCTTTGAAAAATGCAAAACTGATTTAGCACATGCAGTGAAAAATGTAAAACTGATTTAGCACATTCAAGTATACTTAGTTACTATGCCCATGGTCAGCGGAATAACTATTCGTCTCCCTGCAGAATTTTTGCAACCAAGTTTCTAATTTTTCTGATCCAATCTCATTCATTTTTACAGAAGTTGTGTGAGGCAATAGTTGCGTGCAATAATTGTGAGATTAAGTGTTTGTGAGATACGATGCAATAAAACCACCACTGATTTATCTGTATGATGGACCATTTAACGTAATAAAAATATTTAATAAAAATTTTACCCTTCTTGTTAAAGGTAAAGAATCTGTGATCAGCATTGATCGCCAGAAACCAGCATTTTTAGTTTCAGATACTGTAGCATCAATTCCTATTCCTGAGTACACTCTTACAGTAAAACTGAATGACACTATACCTCCAGTGCAGACTACTGTATGTCAAGTTTAACAGTAGGTGTCTTTGACCCCTCATGCCTTTGGCACACGTCTGCGTGGGAGAGTACTGTGGCAGAGTATTTGCATTTCAATGAGAATATTTGCACTTTTGACATTTGCATGCAGTATCCATGTTTGCTGCACTGTACTCTTTATAGCATGAGTATAAAGACTTGAACTTTTCACCGAGAGACACACTTTGCACTTGTACTGTTTCCTGCTTGTTCATGGTCAACATTTGGTGTTGGCTTATCATCATGTATTTAATTTTGTATTTTACCTTTTAATTTTAAATAAAGTTAATTTTATGGTTTACTGAAGTCTTCGGCTTTCTTTTTGATGAACCATCTGACAAGTTTGGAGTACTGTGGCTCAAAACAAACTATATGTATACCATCACCACAACTATATTTATAGTTTATTTAAACATTTTTTATGCCCAGATTTTAAGTTGCTTTCACAAAGCAACCAAATAAATTTTTTTAAACATGATTTAACACAAATATGTAGCATAGCAATTTTGAAAATTAATAATGAAGATACAAAATGTAACAACGAATTGAAATAGTTCAACAATATTAAAAAAATTAGTTTCTGTAATTCAAACACTACATGCATAATGCGAAATTTATGGCATCCATAATTATCAAACAACTGTTATATTTCCTGCCCTATTGCAAAATATGAGTGAATTAGCTTGCTACTTGACCAGTTAACATTTGTACATTTTTATAAAGTGAAGTTAAACAAGATATTATTGCTATATTTAATAATTTGCATAATAATCCAAACCTCATCTAGCAAAAGAACTGTCTTTCAGTGACCTTCAACATGGCAAATTTTGTGCAAAGACTTAGTTTTCCATCTACACAAGATCCAAGTAACATAGGAGTTAAAAAAAAAAAAAAAAAAAAAAAAAAAAAAAAAAAAAAAAAAAAAACTATGAGCTGCATCATGCATTTGCTGAGCCTTAGAAGTAACTTCAATTTGACCCAAATTTCTCCCCCCCCCCATAAAAAAAAAGAAGTTCACTGGCACAAAGTGCATTTTTCACTGAATGATTCGGCTAATAAACAAAACTATAATATAAGAGCTACAGAAAATCCAGAAGAGATCTTGGAATATCCATTGCAATAGGAAAAAGTTACTGTTTTGTGTTGATAATAGAAATGACATCAGCCATTACTATTTTGAGACCTCTGAGGGTCTAGCTTTAATTTGCCAATGAAGAGAGGCATAGAGAAATGGAAAATGACTTTTTTACAGTCTCATCTGATGAATATGAATCTCAAAGATAAATGTTTTCAACAGAATGGCATTGCATGCCACATAAGTGGTGAAACAACCAATGTTTTGCATGAAAAGTTCCCTGAATATTAATTTCACAAAATGGTTATATGAACTGCCCACCAAGAGGACATGTGATTTAATATCTTTATATTTTTTCCTTTGGGGCTATTTGAAGTTACTCACCCACATGAATATGCCTAAGTCAAGAATCGAAAAAGAACATACAACACAAAATAGGTGGTAGGGAATCTCAATTATGCTAAGAGCATCATTGAAAATTGAACTTCTTGAATGCGAATCTCAAAGATAAAAGATGAATATGAATCTCAAAGATAAATGTTTTCAACAGAATGGCATTGCATGCCACATAAGTGGTGAAACAACCAATGTTTTGCATGAAAAGTTCCCTGAATATTAATTTCACAAAATGGTTATATGAACTGCCCACCAAGAGGACATGTGATTTAATATCTTTATATTTTTTCCTTTGGGGCTATTTGAAGTTACTCACCCACATGACTATGCCTAAGTCAAGAATCGAAAAAGAACATACAACACAAAATAGGTGGTAGGGAATCTCAATTATGCTAAGAGCATCATTGAAAATTGAACTTCTTGAATGCGAAACATCAAAAGCAGCCATCTCAATCATATTATTTTTTTATTGTTAATGTCATCGATTGTGCTTTTATCAGACAACAAAATTTTATCAAAATTCAAATTTATTTAGTTTCACATCAGTTTTAAAATCTGGATCAAGAATATATATATATAAAACACCTATCATTTTCATAGGATTTTATCAAATTATAAAGCTTAATTAATAAATTTGAAATTATTGTTATGCTAAATAAATCTATATTTAAGCAGCAACATGTACTCTGCTAATGCTAATGTAACTCTGTTAATGCAATCATGAAATTGTTTCAGATTCATTGAATTTGTTTATTCATATTCAGAATGCAATTTTTAAATAAACAGTAACATATTTTATCAATTATATGAATTGCAACTTCAATAGTTTCAGTACTCTGTTTAATTGAATCTCTGTAAAATATTTCAATCAAATCATATGACTTACTTTTAATCGTGGCTTTTGAAGAAAATATGCAGTTACTTGCAAAACATCTGCTGCATGTGTGGAATTGTGATATGGATTAGGATGATAATTTGACTCGATCAGTGACAACCAATTGCGCAGTATAGTTTCATCACAGTTTAAAAGGCTACAAGCATTGAACCGAGTGAAAATGGAAAGACCAACCCAAATGAGAGGCCTAAAGAAGAAACAGAAAATATATACTGATATTTCTATTAAAAAATTCTACAGTTTTATTGCTTTTGTATAGCAAAAAGCAAATTTGAAAAACATGGCTCAATTCAGAATTACAGAATTGGCTTGTTCAAACACATTTGAAAAATACATTCTGCTGCAAAAAATATGCACCCATTAAAAAAATGAGCTAAGTCATGAAACTCAGCATGTTAATATCATTTGAAAAGCTGTGAAAAAGATTAGGGAATGTATATGAGAAAGGAGCATCATGAAATATACATATAGATTGGTATTCTCGTTGAGTAATTTTAACTGCATTTTCTGTTTTAGTGCTGCAGGTTATGAGCAAAGATATCTTTGAAAAGTACTTGATGGCATTATGAATAGCTATATGATTTAGACAGAGGCTGCACTTTAGTCATAGGTGAAGCAGATTGGTCCAACAACTCTACCAATTGCCATCTTGATCAGAGTGATTTAGTATATAGTTGCTCAGTTTTGGCTACAGTGAATATGAGAAATCTGTAAAGGAGGCAGAAGCTCAAAATATCCCAAATATACAGAACATTAAAGAGGATTATGCAACTAGGAGAACAGCTAAGATCGCACTGGTGATAGCTCTATCATCCATTCGGTGACATTTGTCATCTTTTGTGCATCTCCTGATATCAAAAGATACCCATTCAGGGACAGCTGGCAGAAGATAGAATTTGGTTTCATCAATGAAAGAAACTACTACAGTTTACCCAATACGGGCAGAGCCAGTATGAATTAATGACTACATCAATCACCTAATATATTGCTCAGATAGAGGCACACCGTTTAATGATAAATCCTGTTTCTTTCAGTATTCATGACCACTGCATATATGTTTGGAGAAGGAGTGGTTAGTAGTTCTTAAATTTGTTGTTGATTCACACAAAGCTATTACACATGTCATGACAGTCTGGCAGCCACCCTTTGGAATAGCCTATATCCTCTCAAAGTTCTAAAAGTTTCTCAAAGTTCTATATGTTTTTTTATCACAATTTATGTTGATGATATTCTGCAGCATTATACAGCTTATGCTGTCAAGCTACTTAGATGCCATTTATCAACAAGGCAATCACTTACTGTACAACTTTCTCAGTAATGTCTGTAAGATTAATAACTTTCCACAACTATCCAGATCCTCGCAGTTATCACCAATAACATGTCTAGGACATGCTGAAAAAGCTTCCTTTCCAAAATTCTACAGAATTAACTGCAATGATAATGGCAGTATAATGTGTAAAGTGTTATAAATATGACTCTATGCTATGCAGATATCATAATACATTTTATTTCAACATTCTAATCATTTGTAAATTCCTCAAATGATACATACATGATAAGTTTTACATACCTGCAGCTAAAATATTTTATAAGGTGCTTTTTTTTTTTTTTTTGTTTCAGCACAGTGCATATGACTCATTTCAGAATTATAGACAACACTATTTACACTATAAAAAAGTCATACCTTATTACAATCAAAAGTCGTTAATTCGCACACCCATAATTTGGAATGATCTATAATCCGGACCTCAAAGCTACGAACTTTCTGCGCATGCGTAGTGTTGACGCACGCGCATAGGCGTTTACGCTTGCACGTAAGACCTTTATGGCTGCGCATGTGCACATAATACGTTTACACATGCGCATTTAATGTATAACGGACGGTATAAGCTAAAATTATCTAATTATCTATTTCAGTTAATGTTGCAGATTGTGTTGTTCCTTAATCTTCAAATTGGATCTGGCTTATTATTTTTTTGCAGATTGTTAGAGCAATTTTATAAAAGTAAGCTTAAACTCTTGATTATGTCAAATATGATTTCTGATGCTGGAGCTGCCAAAGGATCTACAAAGCGAAAGTATGTTTCAATGTCCATCAAACAAAAAGTGGAATTGCTGCAAAAAATGTATTAAGGCATATCCTTTTCTCTAACCATTCCGAAATCTGTTTATCATTTTCACGCTGGTCTGTGGGGGGGGGACGTCGCAACGCGTAATGAACTGGAATTTGATCTGTCAGCACTATCCTTATCTTCGGGGCAGATGTTTTTATTTTATTTGGCTTATAATTCCTTACTAAATGTAGTATTTCATCTTGATGTACTCCGTCTTTGATATGATTTAAATCAAATTCCTCGTCATTATATTTCGCTTCCGATAGTGAAGAAAATGACACAGAGGTTATTGAAAACGAAGAAATTTCGATTGACGAATTAGTCGGTATTCTTGACACAGCAATTATAGGACTTCAACACCGGAACTTTGTAACCGAAGAAGAAATTATGTCTGTTTATAGAATTAAAGAGAAAGTATTATCACATAAAACGAAGCAACTTAAACAACTTACATTGAAAGAAATGTTTAATAAATTAAACAAATAAATATTAAGCTTTTTTTTTTGTAAATTTTGATATCCTTTAGATCATAATTGTTCTTTATTTCATAAATTATGGTTTCATATTTTTAATTTTATAATTTCTGCATGCCATCTTACCAGATTTAAACTGATGATCTATAATCCAGAAAAATCGATAATCCGGAATTGCCGAAGTCCCGACGAGTTTGAATTAACGACTTTTGACTGTATATCAACATACAATCCTATATCATACTGTGAATTTTAAAAATTCACTTACAGTTATTTAATTAGTATTCTAAGCACGCTATGTCATAAAATTTAAAATTATTCATTTCTTTTATTTCAACAAAAAACAACTTGTGACAGATCAGCAAAGTAGATATTGGGCAGTACTTTAGAATCTAATTTTAAACCACTTCTTCCATGAATATTAAATTTTCCTCCATTAATAATTTTAAAACATACTGTTACAAAATGTCCAGGCGCAGTAAGATAGCTGCTCCACAAAAGCAGTTTTAGGGTTGCCATAAAATGGACAAGGGATGGCAGGGTTGCCACATTTGGCGAAAAATCACCCTTTGGGCGACAAAACTGGCGATATGCCATGGATGGATGTAGAATCTTCTGGAACAAATTCTTACTGATTTAGCCCAGAATGTTCTCGAACACAAGCCAAAAACTATATAAACCCTGCTGGTACGCGGAGAGTGAGTGGGAGATAGTTTCGAGTTAGTCAGTCCGTGCAGAATTGATCGAGTTAACAGCCGGGCAGAAAGAAACGGGTGGGTTTTCGAGTGCATCGAAAGAGTCTGTTAGTGTATCGCGGTTAGTGCATCGTCGAGAGAGTGTGTTGAGTTCCGGAAGGAACTGAACCGAAGAATCGGGAGCTGTGCTCTGTGTGTCGTCGAGTGCATCAAGAGTTGTAGCGTGGAGAGTCTCAAGAGTACGTGGAGTTCCGAGAATGACCAAGCAGATTCGGGAGCTGTACTCTGGTGCTTTGCAGTGAAGCTGTCTCCACCATTATAGCCTGATAACCTGAAGGCTGTGTCGCTAATTGTTCCAGCGAGTGTATAGTAGACTTTCGACAACTATAAAATGAGCTGTTCTGATTAATATTGGCTAAATAAAGTGCGTTTGGATATTTCATCAAGTGCTGTCATCGTCATGGCCTCATACAAGTTTGGTCACTCACCAAAAGCTTTTACAGCTTGAATGGGACATACTGCAACACCCACCATATTCTCCAGATCTGGCGCCTTCCGATTATTATTTGTTCCGGTCCCTGCAAAATTTTTTGGATGGTAAAACCTTTACCTCAAATGAAGATGTCAAAAACCACCTGAATCAGTTTTTTGCCAGCAAGAACCAAAACTTTTATGAGCGGGAAATTATGTTACTGCCAGAAAGATGGCAAAAGGTGTTGGACCAGAATGGCCAATATATATTTAATAAAATATTTATTCATTATACGAAAATTGTCTTTCATGTTCCCCCCAAAAAAACGAAATTACTTTCCGAACAACCCAATATATGTGCATCTCATAGTGCAGACTGTGCAGACAAGGACTTGATTCTAAACCTGGATACTTCTGCTAGTAAAGGATCAGATTCTTTTTGCGATTCTGGTGCAAACAGTGGAACTGGCTTTCAGGAAATAGAGGTAAATAAGCATGTACCATCTGCTAAAGATACCGAGGTGAACTATATGCATGTTACGAGATCTACAGAGTGGTGAATGAACTGTTTTAGAGCTTTCAGTGGATGAAAAGTCTGAAAGGACTGAATTTTCAGACAGTGATATGCAAAACAGAAATGTGTCTGAGAACTGCAGTGAAAAACTATTTGACCCGGGTATAACTTAATGAAAAGACTGAGACTGAAATTCATTCTGGACTTTAATTTGTATAATTTAAAATTTTTATGTGTTCAATTTGTTTATATAACTTGTATATAGTGTAAATATTTGTTTTAGTAATGTTATTTGTTTTATTAGTATCAAATAATGCTTCTGATCCAGGATTGTACTGCCCGAGACGTGCAGTCCTTGGGAGGGGGCAGTGTTACAAAATGTCCAGGCGTGGTAAGATAGCTTCTCCGCAAAGCAATTTTAGGGTTGCCATAAAATAGCAAGGAATGGCAGGGTTGCCACATTTGGCGACAAAACTGGCAATATGCCATGGATGGATGGAGAACCTTCTGGAACGAATTCTTACTTGTTTAGCCCAGAATGTTCTCGAACTATATAAACAAAAACTAGCCAAAAACTATATAAACTCTGCTGGTACACAGAGAGTGAGTGCGAGATAGTTTCGAGTAACAGCAGCGAGTGCATCGAAAGAGTCTCTTAGTGTATCACGGTTAGTGCAAAATTTGTCACTAAATGAACTATTAACCTAACAAATGTTTTTAAATGCCAACCATAATTTGTTGAGCAATGTTCTATTTTTTTCATTTATGTAGGAACATATATTATATTCAAAACATAAAGTAGCAAGAAACAATATTTTAATAAAAATTATAACAATACACTTTTACATTCTAACATTCTAAAGTTCATACAAACTGAAAATAAGTGATAATTCTGTTTCTAAATGTAACTATTTGAAGAA